TTTTTTTCTCTGCATATGTGAGTACATTGAGGATGTAGTTGCCAGCTTTCAACTATACTAACTGGGTACTAACTGTATGTAAGAAGTCTGATAATTGAAAATGGCAAATGTAACTTATTTTGTGAAAAATGTTGACAGCTTTATAATCACTGGATTTGATCACCTGCAGAACCAAAAGCTCCTTGGATCGCTCATCTTGATATCCTACATGTTCATATTGCTTGGGAATGGCATCAATCTGTGTATCATCTCGACTGACAAACATTTACACAAACCAATGTACATTTTAATTTGTAATTTAGCTGTTGTTGACATGATGTACTCCTCGACCTGCAGCACAACCATGATCTCAGTGCTGCTGGCTGAGATTAAAACAGTTTCATACTACTCTTGCATCTCCAGGACATACTTTTTTAATCTTGGAGATTTAACAGAGTCCATGGCTCTGACATTAATGGCATTAGACAGACTTATTGCGATTAATCTTCCTTTAAGGTATAACAGTTTTGTAACAAACTCACGAATATTATGGCTTGTTTTTCTAACCTGGATCTTAAGTTTTGCTGTAATAGGTTTTTTAATATATGTGACAGACAGTCTCACATACTGTCAGCCTATCATTAAATACGTGTTCTGTAGTTATTCTTCTCTGGTCAGAGCTGCCTGTGTTGATCCTGAACCTTATTTTGCCATTTCTACAATGTATAGTATGGTGACATTATGTGGACTTTTCCCTTTTATTCTGTGCACGTATGCCGTTCTAGCATATAGTGTGACTAAACTGGCCAACTCAAGCAGAAAGCAAATGATCAACACTTGCTTGAGTCATATAATTGTCCTGTTCAGTTTTTATGTACCAAAGATAGTCTATATTTTATTAACCAGAATAGGACTTGTGTTGACTTTAACAGAGCGAAATGCTGTTGTAATTGTGTCCTGCTATGTTTCTCTTTTAGTAAACCCCACTGTTTATTGCATCAGGACTAAAGGAATCAGAAAAAGAATAACAGATATATTCTTGTACACACAAAAAATAACCAAGTAATTTAAAATAAATTTCAAACCTTTTAATCTTATTTGTGATTTGTGGGGATGTTACTCGTTATTGTTTTGGTAATGTTTTTGTGAAGCTTTTGCTCATATTAGAGACTAAGCCAATAGATAGAAATGCTAATGTTGATTTATTTGTTTAATGGGAAAAGGGAGAATGTTTTGTAAAGACAGTATTGACTGAAATGTAAATGTTGAACAGAAGAATATTCTCTGCATTGACAAAATTCTAGTTAAACAAATCTGTTTGTAGATGCAGTGTATTCCCTATTTGTGTGCAAAAATATAATAGTCATAATAAACATGAGTCTTGTTCCTCAGTCCCAACTGTAATATCAGTTACTGTAATATCAGTTACTACGTTTCTTCAAGAAACAACTTAAAACTCAACTATTTAGTCTCCACTTCACTTCCTAATCTGCAATTGCATCTGGTGTGAACGCAGCATTAGACTTTACAGACCTGAAACTTGCCTACAGCACTTATTCATTGTTGCTCTTATAGTTGTGTAAATTGCTTCCTTGCCCTCATTTGTAAGTCGCTTTGGATAAAAGCGTCTGCTAAATGACTAAATGTAAATGTACTTATTTTAATATGTGTGCATAAGCATTTAAACCATTTAATTACATTAAAACATACAAAGCATTTAAGTATTGTTTCTCTGGTGTGGAGACTGGTGAGTGAACCACTGAGCCAATGGGGCAGTTGTGTTGGACCCAAATGAAAACACTTCAAGTAGGGATGCAGAAAACAAGGATTTATTTTAAAAACTTGGATTCTTCTCAAAAATGAGGTAGCAAAACAGACAAATTAGGTTTTTCTCAGAATTAGGTATATATAAATAACCAAGTAATTTAAAATGAATTTCAAACATTTTAATCTTATCAGTGATTTTTGGGGATCTTACTCGTTATTGTTTTGGTAATGTTTTTGTGAAGCTTTAGAGACTGTGAGCCAATAGATAGAAATGCTAATGTTGATTTTAATTGTTTAATGGGGACAAGGGGAATGTTTTGTAAAGACAGTATTGACTAAAGTGTAAATGTTGAACAGAAGAATATTCTCTGCATTGACAAAATCCTTGTTACACAGCAGTTTGTAGATGCAGTGTATTCCCTATTTGTACTCAAAAGATGAATAATTTCAATAACCATGAGTCTTGTTTCTCAGTCCCAACTGTAATATCAGTTACTGCTATTAATTCATGCACAGGGGTTTAAACTATTAAATGAAATTAAAGCATGAATAACTGTGGCTAAATGTAGATATTTAAGCTACAATCTACTCTACAAACATGCATTGGGAAAGTAGCTTGCTACTTGGATGGAAAATATATGGGCTTAAAAAAATACACATGTATTGCTGTTACGTGGTTATCTGGATTACTTGATTATACCTGATCAATCAATATGCAAGCATATGAGGGGCAAAATGAACAGGTTAATCGTTTTATCTCAACTATTTTTTTTTTTTTTTTTTTTTTTCCATCATGGGAGGCCAAAATAAAAATTAACTGCTCAGCCCATACTTGCTAGACTCATTCAGTAGAGAAATTGGGCCTCATCATACACCCGGCGCTATAAGGCACAAGACGTGTTTTGCATGAGTTGTTGCCATTTTGAGACCAGTGCAAATGTAATTTTCACATTTTGCACCATGTAGTTTAAATAACAAATCCATTTGTGCCACTTTTTGGACTCATGGCTGTTCCGTTCTATAAAGAAGGTGTGTTAAGGCACAATGTTGGTGTGTTGTTATTTTAAGAAACTAAAATAGACAGCGTCATTGACCAAGTAAAAGCTGGTTTAAAGTCAAGCACAGATGTAGGTTCAAATGCTTAATACACACAGGATGTACAGCAATACACAAATATTTTATTTCAGAACAGACAATTCAGAAGTCAGGTTATTAGCAGCAATAACTCAATGTGTTAAGGCTCAGAAAGTTGAATGAGTCTTATAGAAAAAGTTGTCTTATAGAAAAAAAACAGGCATAATGAATATGAAATCATGAAAACACATACATATATTTATACACTCAAGCTAATGCCTTAATTTCTCTATAGCAGTGTATATGGCTAAAACTCTCAATCTTCAATGTGTTCCAATGCAGTGTAACTTAGTCGATGTGACTTAAACAGAGCAAATGCCTCTCTTGTTCCTTACTTGAAAAACACCACTTTTCCTTGCACCAGCCCTAAAGAGATCAGTAAATGATTACAAATGTGCGAAACTATACAGCAAACCTAATGGCAAAATTTAAAAAAGTTTGCATACTCCTGGTTGGAGAAAGACAAGTTTAAACAATGGCTAAAGCCTGTCGCAGAAAACAACCACGTAATTTATTTTTTCAAGCGTTGTTTTTTCCGAGCTTATCGGAGTTCTGTTACATGGTTGTGCTCCATTGATTTATTTAACTATGACTTGTTTATTAACAACTGTTTATTAAGTTAAAGGTTTGATACTGATTAGAACTTGAAGTGGCGATGAGGTCTTAAATTATTCTGAGAAGGTCTTTAAAAGTTATAAAAATGTATTTACCTTTAGGATTCCTGCATGTACCCTGTTAAAGTCACTATAAAATACTTTGATGTTATTGTTAATTGCTTTGATAATGGTTTTATTAGACTCTTTATTCTATGATAGAATTAGCCAGTGCAGTGAAATACTTTTACCTAAATACTTATGTTAAATAGTTTGTTTTAAAATAAAAGAGTAATGTTTGTTTTGCTAGTTTAATTTTGATTAATTTTAATTACTGTGTTGCCTGAAATTAAAATTTTGATGTTGTACAAAAACTTTACATGCATTGACAAATATTTGTTTAATAAAACTGTTGATGGATTGGATATTTAATTTTTATATTTGAAGCATGAATAATGTTAACAATCATTGTTAATGAAAAATTAAGTCTGTTGCCCAACTATCTCTATAGCAATAACATCATCTCAGCTATTAATGACTATTTAAAATGACCCTTGTTCAAAGTAAAAGCGTTGTAGCCAAATGTAGACAGCAAACTTAATCTATTCAGAATCAGAAAGCGCTTTATTGTGAAGTGTGCTTGCACTATGTATAGTTAGTACAGTAAGATTGTTATGTTTGGTATGTACATGTTTAAATAGCTCTCATATCTAGTGTTGTGTTTATATTTATGATTGTCTATGGTCTTGTGAGCAATGACATTTCATTCCATGCTCACACATGCAGTGAAATGACAATAAAGCTCATCTTGACTTGATAAATCTGACTTGTTAATCAACTTTTATATAAAATTTAAAGAAATTTAAAATATTCTTATTTAAATATAAACATTTTACTTTTACTTTACAAATAGTTGAGCTAGTGGCAATACACTTCTTTTATAGAAGTGGCAATATTAAGTAATTTTTATTGCAAAATTGTCAAAGTATATCCAACTAAATATGCAATAGCAATAGACAATCATGGGTTAATTCATGTTTTTAGAGGAATAACTGCTTGTGGTTTTTTATTTTTTTATTTGGAAAGACCCGTATTAATCGCGTTTCTAAGAAACCATGACATGACTGCCTTCGGAAAAAAAACATAAAAGGCAGCAGATCACGCACAATTTTCACTTTCACTGGATGCAAGGAACATTACCCGTCTTCAAGGGTTTATTGTTTTCAATTGTAATCTACACTTTTTAAATTTTTCGAAGCTTTAAAAAGATTACCTTTTTGCACTTTTTTTTCATCGTTTTTGAGAATGAATGAAACTTTTTTTGTGCTTTTCTTGAAACTATATTTTAATCTTTACCATTTTCATCATCTTTATGTTACAGAGACTGTCTGCATCTTTTTGCCTTTTTCCTTCTTAGGAGCTTTATTTCTGTGCATTTCTGAGTATGTTGAAGATCTAATTGATGTTTTCATTCTAACTGTGTTTTAAAATATTCGTGTCTGTATTTAAGAAGGTTCTTAGCTGAAAATGGCAAATGACAATTACACTGTGAAAAAAATTGACAACTTTATGATCACTGGATTTGATCACCTGCAGAACCAAAAGCTCCTTGGATTTCTCATCTTGATATCCTACATGTTCATATTACTTGGGAATGGCATCAATCTGTGTATCATCTCAACTAACAGACATTTACACAAACCAATGTACATATTAATCTGTAATCTTGCTGTTGTTGACATAATGTACTCCTCGACCTGCAGCACAACCATGATCTCAGTGCTGCTGGCTGAGGTTAAAACGGTTTCATACTACTCTTGCATCTCCAGGACATACTTCTATCATCTTGGTGATTTAACAGAGTGCATGGCTCTGACATTAATGGCAATAGACCGCATTATTGCAATTAAGCTTCCTCTGAGGTATCACAGCATTGTAACAAATGTAAGAATAGTGTTGCTTATTTTTCTAGCCTGGCTCATTTGTTTTGTTGCAGTAGGATTTTTAACATATGTGGCAGACAGTCTCACATACTGTCAGCCTGTCATCAAATATGTGTTTTGTAGTTATTCTGCTCTGGTCAGATTTTCCTGTGTTGATCCTGAACCTTATTTTGCCATTTCTACAATATTTAGTATGTGGCCTTTGTGTGGACAGTTTCCCTTTATTCTGTGCACATATGCTTTTCTGGCATATAGTGTGACTAAACTGTCCAACTCAAGCAGAAAGCAAATGATCAATACTTGCTTGAGTCATATAATTGTCCTGCTCAGTTATTTTGCTCCAAAAATTGTCTATATTTTACTAACTAGAATAGGAGTTGTGTTGACTTTAACAGAGCGAAATGCAATTATGATCGTATCTTCTCTTGTTCCACCTTTAATAAACCCCACTGTTTATTGCACCAGAACTAAAGAAATCAGAAAACGATTACTAGATATATTTTTGCGCAAAAAAATTGCACCGAATCATTTAAAAATAAGTTCAGTTAATTTATTGTCTTAATTCTGATTGTGTTGATTTTAGGTTTTTGTGATGCTCTTATACATGAGAGACTGTAACTACAGCATTGACAAGCTGATGTTGAATTATATGTTTTCAAATAAAAGCTAAATATAATATGGAAAATGTTTGCTCTTTCTATTTTTTTTATTACAATATTGGTAGAAATGTTTTTTTAATCTAATTTCAAAATGCATATCTGTTGATTTATGATTATGAAAAATGTATAAAATTGTGTATGTGAAGAAATAATAATATTGGTAATCATATTAAACAAAAATTAGTTTGAAGTTCTAGCAGTAAATATAGCTTACAGATTCAATTAAAATTACCTGGGTCAGTAGGAACTAGGGCTGTGTGATATTGCAAAAAATGATCACAATATCATATCATTCGATATCAATAATTATTGATTATTTTTTTAAAATACATTTAGGTATTAGGATTAGGATTAGGATTTTTTTCTGTTTAACCACTTTATTTTAGTTTACCAACAATACTAAGGCTAACCCTTTTTTAAAGGTCAAAAACAAATATTTAAACAAAATCTCTCATCTCTTCAAAATAAAATAAACATAAGTGTTAAAGAGACTGTTAAACTTGATAAATAAAATATAACAAAGTGTGAGCAATGGTAAAGTGTAAATGCTGAACAATCAAAGCAAACTTCAAGCTGTAAATAATAATGATACAGTAAACTTCAAACTCTGTAAACAACATTAATTATGATAATCATCTTAGCTTTCAAGTAAAGGAACTAACCATAATTATTCATATACAGTTAAAGTCAGAATTATTAGCCCCCCTGAATTATTAGGTCCCCTGTTTATTTTTTCCCCCAATTTTTGTTTAAAGGAGGTTTTTTTCAACACATTTCCAAGCATAATAGTTTTAATAACTAATTTCTAATAATTGGTTTATTTTATCTTTGCCATGATGGCAGTAAATAATATTTGAATAGATATTTTTCAAGACACTTCTATACAGCTTAAAGTGACATTTAAAGGCTTAACTAGGTTCATTAGTTTAACTAGCCAGGTTAGGGTCATTAGGCAAATTTTTTTTATAATGATTGTTCTGTAAACTATTAAAAATATATTGCTTAAAGAGGCTAATAATTTTGTTCTTAAAATGGCTTTTAAAAAATGAAAAACTGCTTTCGTTCTAGCTTAAATAAAACAAAAGACTTTCTCCAGAAGAAAAAATATTATCAGACATACTGTGAAAAATTTCCTTGCTCTGTTAAACAGCATTTGGGAAATATTTAAAAAAAGAAAAAAAATCAAAGGGGGGCTAATAATTTTAACTTCAACTGTACACATTGCAACATTACAAATTGTGAAGTTCAATGACTATATTACCCCTATACTAAAAATCTTTCAGATGGGATGTGGGATGTATGGATTCCTTGACCCTTTACAATGGACTTTGCTTGCGCTCCCCTGATAGGTCTTGTAACTAGGCAACCATCAAACTTTTATTTAGTGGATGATAAATGAACATACCATTGCTGCGGTTTCGATACAAGTTTATGGAGAAAAGTTAAAAGCGCTGCATTGTTTGGGTACACAAGTCTGGATTACATTTACAGCGTTTACATATTAAACTAATCATCATACACATTTTTAATTTGATTTTGGAAATGGTTAGGAATAGAAAAAAATGTCATTGTACCCTTGAGTGATGCTATGCTTACACAGCAGTGTACTAAAAACAAATGTATTTCCTTTGTGTTTTTGAAAACGGATGACAATATTATCAAAAGATTCTCATTCACATAAAATAGTTTGGATGATTCTTTAAAATAAAATCTGAAAATGCATTTTTAAAACTTTTGTGAAATGTCATGCAATTAAAAATGTTTGACACATAAAGGGGAATATTATAGAGAAATAGACTACAACAAAAGTGTTTTACAAATATACAGATACAAAAAGTTGGACAGTTCATTATTATTGAAGAAAAAACTGCTTATGTGTTGCATTTCTATAACTGGAGTTGGACAGCCATTTCATGGTTGCATGGCATGGTTGCTACAAAACAATGAAATGCCTTCCTCAATAAAAGCATATAAAATCAGGTGGAGGTCGCACTCTTCTCTTAACTGAATGGGTGATTCATCTAATAACTAAAAGAATTATTTTTATGCAATTCTGATCCACACAATTCAGGTGTTCTTAAAGACATAAGAGGAAAACCATATTCTGTATTCTTAAGAATGACTGAAACTTTTTTTGTTCTTTTGTTAAAACTATACTTTAATCATTGTAGCTTTCGTCAGCTGTATATTACAGAGACTGTCTGCATCTTTCTGCCCTTTTCCTTTTTAGCTGCTTTTTTCCTGTGCATATATGAGTACATTGAAGCTGTGCTTTACTTAATTTTTTGCCTATAATAATAATTGTGTTTTAAAATATTTTTGTCTGTATGTTAGGAGGCTGTAAACTAAAAATGGCAAATGCAACTTATTTTGTGAAAAATGTTGACAGCTTTATAATCACTGGATTTGATCACCTGCAGAACCAAAAGATCCTTGGGTCCCTCATCTTGATAACCTACATACTCATACTGCTTGGGAATGGCATCAATCTGTGTGTCATCTCGACTGACAGACATTTACACAAACCAATGTACATATTAATCTGTAATCTAGCTGTTGTTGACATAATGTACACTTCAGCCTGCAGCACAACCATGATCTCAGTGCTGCTGGCTGAGATTAAAACTGTTTCATACTACTCTTGCATCTCTAGGATGTTCTTCTATACTCTTGGAGATTTGACTGAGTGCATGGCTCTGACATTAATGGCAATAGACAGAGTTATTGCCATTAGGCTTCCTTTAAGGTATCACAGCATTGTCACAAATTCACGAATATTATGGCTTATTTTTCTAACCTGGATGTTCTGTTTTGCTGCAATAGGTTATTTGATATTACTTGCTGACAGTCTCCCCTACTGTCAACCTGTCATCAAATATATTTACTGTAGTTATGCTGCTGTGGTCAGAGCTGCCTGTGTTGATCCTGAACCTTATTTTGCCATCACTACAATATATAGCATGGTGCCATTGTGTGGCCAGTTTCCCTTTATTCTGTGCACGTATGCTGTTCTGGCATATAGTGTGACTAAACTGTCCAACTCAAGCAGAAAGCAAATGATCAACACCTGCTTGAGTCATATAATTGTCTTGCTCAGTTTTTATGTACCAAAGATTGTCTATATTTTACTAACTAGAATAGGAGTTGTGTTGACTTTAACAGAGCGAAATGCCATTGCAATTGTTTCCTCTCTTGTTCCTCCTTTAATAAACCCCACTGTGTATTGCACCAGGACTAAAGAAATCAGAAAAAGAGTATCAGACGTATTCTTGCACTCAAAAAAAATAGTACCAAGGGATTTTAAATCTTTTCCAAACACTTTATCATCTTAAGTGTGATTGTGATGATGCTTCTCTTGCTTGTGTTTTTATTTTCATGTTAAAAACTGTAAGCCAATGGATAGAAAATTTGATGTTGATTTTCATTCATTCATTCATTCATTTTCTTGTCAGCTTAGTCCCTTTATTAATCCGGGGTCGCCACAGCGGAATTAACCACCAATTTATCCAGCAAGTTTTTATGCAGCAGATGCCTTTCCAGCCGCAACCCATCTCTGGGAAACATCCACACATACATTCACACACTCATACACTACGGTCAATTTAGCCTACCCAATTCACTGTGGGGGAAACCGGAGCACCCGGAGGAAACCCACGCGAAGGCAGGGAGAAAATGCAAACTCCACACAGAAAGGCCAACTGAGCCGAGGTTTGAACCAGCGACCTTCTTGCTGTGAGGCGACAGCACTACCTACTGTGCCACTGCCTCGCCATGTTGATTTTACATATTTATTTATTTTATTTTATTTTTTTCAAATTAGGTAAAAGATTAATGAAAAGGAAAGGAGAAATGTTTTGTTATGACAGTATTGACTGAGTTGACTAAATAAAATGGTGAACAGGGAAAAAAAACATATTCTGTATTGACATATACTAAACTGTTTGTAGATGCAATGTATTCCATTTTAATATGCAAAACATGAATAATAACATTTTTAATTTAATAAACATAAGACATATGTTGTCCTAATGATATTTGTGCACTGGGATCAAAACCAATTAAATCAGTAGAACATAAAACAAAACATTGTGCTTAAATGCAGATATTTAGGCAATGTACTCTTTAAATGCACACACAATATATATTTATTTATTTATATACAGTTGAAGTCAGAATTAATAATCCCCTGAATTATTCTCCCACATTTATTTTTTTTTTACAATTTCTGTTTTACAGAGATAGGATTTTTCAACACATTTCTAAACATAATAGTTTTAATAACTCAATTCGAATAACTGATTTCTTTTATCTTTGCCATGATGACAGTAAATAATATTTGACTAGATATTTTTCAAGACACTTCTATACAGCTTAAAGTGACATTAAAACGCTTAACTAGGTTAATTAGGTTAACTAGGCAGGTTAGGGTAATCAGGCATGTTATTGTAGAATGATGGATTATTCTGTAGACTATCGAAAAAAATACTTTAAAGGGGCTAATAATTTTGTCCCTAAAATGCTTTTATTCTAGCCGAAATTAAACAAATAAGACTTTGTCCAGAAGAAAAAATATTATAAGACATTATAAGACAATGTGAAAATTTCTTTGCTCTGTTAAACATAATCTAGGAAATATTTAAAAAAGGGGAAAAAAATTAAAAGGGGGCTAATAATTCTTACTTCAACTGTATATATATTAAGGGTGCAATAATACGCATGTTCTTATTGAACCATTCGGTACAAGACTTTGGGTTTGGTACACATTACAAACTGACCGATTCAGACAAATATCTAAAAACCATAGAGAATAAATGTACAAAATATAAGGTTTTCAGTGCAATACTTGAGTTAGTGTGGCTTGAAAACTTCTTATTCCACTCCCGCAAGGTAAACACAGGCGCTCCACAGGAAAGGGTCATCTCCACACTTCTCTGTTCACCAACTTCTTTAGTTCACCAGCACTAAAATAACCTAATAACAGAGCGAAATGCCATTGCAATTGTATCATCGCTTGTTCCTCCTTTAATAAACCCCACTGTTTATTGCACCAGAACTAAAGACATCAGAAATTGATTATTAGATGTGTTTTTGCTGAAAAGAAAAGTACATAATCATTTAAAAACTATTTCAAGAAATGTATTATCTTGATTCTAATTGTGAGCTCAGTAACTGAGCACAGCATTGCTGATGTTGATTTTTTACACTAGGTGAAAAATCTTTTACACTAGGTACATTGTTTGCTCTTATTAATTTTAAATTGTTGTTTTTTATTGTTTTTTTATTTAATGGTAAACAGAAAAACATCATGTTGGATACTTGTTGATTTTAAAAGCATTGTATATTTTATCTTTGTAAAAAAACATAGTATTGTGTTGTGAACTAAAAAAGTTCACTGAAAGTTGCATGCATTGAGGCTAGATTTCATTGTTAAGCAGATTGCATGGCTCGCGTTCAATCTGCCCAGTTGGTGGAATGAACTCCCTAACTGCATCAGATCGGCAGAGTCACTCGCTGTTTTCAAGAAATGACTAAGAACTCAACTATTTAGTCTCCACTTCACTTCCTAATCTGCAATTGCCTCTCTGGATATACCACTAACTGTACTCAAAAAGAAAAAAACAAAAACAAAAATAAAAAAGTACTAATACTTTCCTTCTTAGACTTTACAGACCTGAAACTTGCCTATAGCACTTATTCATTGTTGCTCTTATAGTTGTGTAAATTGCTTCCTTGTCCTCATTTGTAAGTCGCTTTGGATAAAAGCGTCTGCTAAATGTAAATGTAAACAGTAGCTTTGTACTTTAATACTATATATAGGCCTCTACATAGATTATTGTAAGTTTATGACTTCTCAATCTCATCATTCATCATAGATTTATTTTAAATCATGTTCATAGCAGCACTGCATATCAAGTAGTTCCAAGCTCCAAACAAGCACTGAACTGTTCTTATTAAACTGAGGTTCCCCTAAGCGAGAATCCACTAACACAAATAACTTGATCTAAGCACAGTACTCATTTCTCCCAGTGAGTCCAAGTTTTAAAGGTTTCACTGTACTGGCCCAATCAGACTGTCACAATCACCAGCGATCTAATCCTTGTAGATAAACATGCAGTTCACTAAAGCTCTACAAATCCACTAGTATATAGACTACAAGTTCCAGTCATGCAACACATACACACACCTGATTCAGATCACAATTGTTTACACTCACACAGCTGGGAGCTGCTTAAAAACTGATTAGATGGACTTTAAATACAGCGTGTCCACACACCTCTTTGCTGAGTCTTGTTAACTGTTATTGAGTACATTATGACGTGTTTCACTTGCTTTACCATTTTTTGACCCTCACTTTGTTTATTTGTTTACATTGTCTGCTGCCTGCCTTTTGACCATTTGCCTGATTATTGACCTCTGGATTGCCCGTATACATCTGTTTGTTTCTGTATTGACCGTTGCTTGCATGACCATTCCTGTTAATAAAACCTACATTTGGATCCCCACTTCCTTTGTCAGTGTCCACTTAACAGACACAGACTTGGTGTTCAGTTCATGATAATGAGTTTAGCCCTTTCCTGGTGAGTTACTTCGAGGATTGGATTCTTTGCTGTACTTATTTATTTGTGTTTATTTTGATTAAATTATATAACCAGTGTAATACATCAAGCTATCAAGGTGTGATTATGATTAAGGACTGAATTGATTGTTAATAAAAAATAGTTGGTATAGCATTAAGCACTGGAGGTAACAAAGTAATTAACCCTCTACCAAGAGATGATTGGACAAATTTCTTGCATTTAAAAATACAAAATTGAAGAAAGGATACAAAATTGGCCATACAGCTGGCTAAATATTGGTGGCTATATTGTTAGAATGCTGTTGTTAATTGTTAAAGCCAGTTATTTCTTTTTTTCTGTAGTGTGTCAGTAGGAAAAATCTGTTTACGTTTCCAAACAGTTTTTTTGCTATTAATTGTAATTATCTATCATAGGTTGCCTTAAGCCCAATCACACTGCAATTTAGGCCATGAATCGGTCGTCTGAGAAAAAGTTGGGAAATCCTAAAAAAAAAAGTAATGCCCTTATGCCTTGACACTATCACTGGGAATCACTATCACTTTTATCCCTTTTCAAAAATGTTCGCCACAGACAGAGTGAGTGTGCTTAGATGTTTTTTCCTTGCTGTGTGGTTGTTTAGATCTCAGGTGATTTGATTTAAACTTTTTGTGTATATCTTTGTTCCTCTTGAAATTTTGCCATTGCATATTTTGCATATTGCCATCAGTTGGTCTTACTGAAATACATCCACACTACAGACATATTGCTTCAAACAAGCGTGTGCAGGCCATGGTTTCTGTTTGCCTCATCAAAACATACAGTTTCGACAGTGTTGTTTCAGTGAAAGGAAAAAATATTTTGGCCCAAAACCGAAAATGCACTTTTGAGTCATTTTCCTCTAACAGTTTTTGGTGGTCAAATATTTTTGCATCGCTAATTTGAATATTTTTTTACTTATGATGTTTTGTCAAAGTCTAGATTACACTTCCCGCTGTTTAGATCTTAAACCAAGCAATCATACATTTTTTTTATTTGATTTGGGAAATAGTTAGAAAACAAAAACAAAAAAAAAACATCATGCTCTTGTGTAAGGGTGTGCTTGCAGAGCAATGTAGTTACAGCAAATGTACTTCCGTTGTTTTTGAAGTTACTCACACAGAAGACAATGATATCGAAAGATTCTCATTCACATATAAAATAGCTTGGATGTTTTTTTTTTATTATTTCTAAAAACGCATTTTCAAAAGTCATGTTTTCACGTCACTGAAATGCCGTTGATATATAGATAGACAGCCAAATTCAAAATGTCAAAACTTAAAGCAAAAATGTCATGTTTAAACAGATAAAAAATAAATATTATTGCAAAATAGACTCCGTAAAAAAGTATGACAAATATACAGAAACAAATAACTGGACAGTTCATCATCATTTAAGAAGAAAGTGCTTATGAGTTGTGCATTTCTAAACTTTGAAAGTCATATCATGGTTGCTACGAAACCATGACATGCCTGCCTCACAATAAGCATATAAATTCAGGAGAAGATTGCACTCTTCTCTTTAACTGAATGGGAGAAACCTCAAACACATTAGATTATTTTTGCAATTCTGTTATATACAATGCAAATGTTTTTAAAGCCATGAAAAGCAGAAAACTATTTAATTTCTGAAAAATGAGTGAAACTCTTTTTGTACTTCTGTTAAAACTATACTTTAATCTTGGTAGTTTTTATCATCTGTGCATTATAGAGACTGTCTGCATCTTTCTGCCACTATCCTTTATAGGAGCTTTTTTACTGTGCATATATGAGTATGTTTTAAATGCTTCTGTCTGTATTTTAGGAGTTTGCAAACTGGAAATGGCAAATGAAACTTACATGAAAAATGTTGACAGCTTTATAATAACTGGATTTGATCACCTGCAGAACCAAAAGCTTCTTGGATCTCTCATCTTGATATCCTACATGTTTATATTGATTGGGAACATTATCAATCTGTGTATCATCTCAACTGACAGACATTTACACAAACCAATGTACATATTAATCTGTAATCTAGCTGTTGTTGACATAATGTACTCCTCAACCTGCAGCACAACCATGATCTCAGTGCTGCTGGCTGAGATTAAAATGGTTTCATACTACTCTTGCATCACCAGAACGTTCTTCTATCATGTTGCAGATATTGCAGAGTGCATGGCTCTGACATTAATGGCAATAGACAGAGTTGTTGCCATTAGACTTCCTTTAAGGTATCACAGCATTGTAACAAACTTGCGAACATTTTGTTTTATTTTTGTAACCTGGCTCATGGGTTTTGCAGCAGTAGGTTTTTTTACATCTGTGTTGGACAAGTCCCCATACTGTCAGCCTCTCATCAAGTATGCGTTCTGTAGCTATTCATCTCTTGTCCGAGCTGCCTGTGTTGATCCTGAACCCTATTTTGTAATTTCTACAATATATAGCATGGTGCCATTGTGTGGACTGTTTCCCTTTGTTATGTGCACATATGCTTTTTTGGCATATAGTGTGACTAAACTGTCCAACTCAAGCAGAAAGCAAATGATCAACACTTGCTTGAGTCATTTAATTGTCCTGCTCAGTTATTATGCACCAAAGGTGGTCACTATTTTACTTACTAGAATAGGTGTTGTTTTGACTGTAACGGATCGAAATGCCATTTTAATTGCTGCCTCTCTTGTGCCGCCTTTAATAAACCCCACCGTTTATTGCACCAGGACTAAAGAAATCAGGAGACGATTATCAGACTTCTTTTTGTCCACAAAAATATTACCTAATAATTTCAAATAAAATTAAAATGTTTATCATTGAAATCCTGAAAGTTATGGTTTCAATTATGGTAATGTTTCTTGTTTTGATGTTTTTGTAAAGCTCTTTTATAAATATGTGTTTGTGTTAAATGACAGCATTGGCAGAAGAGTAAATTGTAATGTTAGACAGAAGAAAAAACTTTGTTTGCATTGACAAATACCTGCTAAAAAAACTGTTGATGTTTTGTGATTCCATGTTGAAACATGAATAGTACTGTCTGTGCATAATCAATAATAATAATAACAACAATCATATTAAACAAAAGAGAGTTTTCTTCCAGTCCCTTAGCATGCTACTTGGAAACTATATTTTGGCCTATGTATACACATTCACAAACACATGTTGCTCTATTCTCTGAAATTGAGTCTGACAGGTTAACCAGAATATTCATTATTGCTTGTTATTGTTAACCAATGCCCATCGTATGTTTTCACTTTACAAAATACATTTGCAGTGATATACTGGTAGGCAGGCAAACATCCAGATCTGTCTTCATAACAGAGATCAACATTTAGATGAATGTGCAAATATGTGCTGTTTGTTTTCTTTTCAATTACGAAATATACACGAGTACGAGGCAAACATTTGAGCATAGTGATATGGATTGTTTTTGCTTTTCAATTCGCCGGCATCATGTTATCAGATAAATCTATTATAATCAAACAGTCACAACAGTTTAATTTTAAAGTTTATTTTTGAGATTTTATATGTGAGTTTTTAGATTGAATTAATTTCTTTCTTTACATGACACACTGACATTACAGCACACAGTGGCTCTGTTAGCATTTTCTTGAACAATATAAGCATTTGTTGTGAAATAGAGACTCCTGAGAGTCCATGTAAACAACACGTTCTTTGGACTTTTCAGAGCATCTGCGGCTAACTTTAGAGTGATGCTATCACAAGATTATATTAGTTTCAACTTTATTGTCATTACACATGTACAAGTACAATGCAACGAAATGCAGTTTAGGTCTAACCAGCAGTGCAATAGCAGCAAGTGCAGGATACAGGTATAAGTTATAAAGTGCAATTATAGAAAAACTATAGTGATATTTACAGATGGATATATTATCAACATTATATACAGGTTGTATTAGCTATGAACAGAGATTTACAATGAATATATGTACAGATTGCTATTAGGAATCAGAAGTGTGCAGATAAATAAACATGATTACAAATGTATATGTACAGAGGGTAATCATGTTTATTTATCGGCACACTTCTGATTATTAATAGCAATCTGTACAACATCTGTTTTGCTCTTTATCACAGAATATTGTTGCACTCACTAATCTCTAAAATGCTTTGAGCGCAAATTATGACTTGATTGAGCTGATGCATCTCAAGCTGGAAGAAGTAAAGAAACTGATCCGCAACATTTAGGCAAGAAGCTCAACTCCAGGAATTGAAGACATGCTCATAACTTCCTGGATTAACGCTTACTTAATGTCATGTGCCAGTGCCAAATGGGAAAAACAACGTGACGACATGAACATATGGGCTAGCCCTATTTAAGGGGAGTACTACATATGACATTTTCGTTGACCAATAAGGATGACACATCTCTGCCTGAGAAGGGATAATATAAAGGCTGATTTATACTTCTGCGTCAAACACCGGCATATGCTACGGCGCTGACGCATAGCCCTTCGCCGTGGCCATCGCCGTCACTGACGTGCACCTCTCAAAAAATGTAACTACACGTCGCAACGACGCGTAGCGTAAGCTCTGTGATTGGTCGGCTTGGTAGCGCTGACGAATCTGGGCGGAACCGAGAGCCGCGCGAGCGATTGTTTACAAGTGTGGAGTACCGTGAAGGAGCTCCGGATGGAAAGTTTTGTTTTGTGTTTACCTCATAGTTAAAGTTGTTGCACGTCCGCCGGTTCCTGCCTCAAAATGAGCGAGTTTGAGCCACTTGTACATTCCGGAAGTGTTCAGGAAATGCAAAAAAGTAGCGAAGAAACTCGACACAGAGGAACATTTACAAGTGTTAATGCAGACCGACAGAGACAGCGCGCAGAAGTATAAATGCACAGCCACGCGCGTTGCCTGCGCCGTGGGTTACGGCGGTCACCTGACGCAGAAGTATAAATCAGGCTTAAGTCAGGTGTTGGGGGCCTTGGCGAAACTCTTTAGGGTTCACCAGATGAAGAACTAAATAGCGGAGCAAAAAAAGTGCACTTATCTCTGGGTTAGGGAGATTGGTGCAGCAAGCCTTCTGATTCACTGGTACTACCTAGCAATCGAGAGGAAACCGGCTCCACCTGAAGATTATAGAACCTCACAAATGTGTTGAGTGTCGCCCAGCCAGCGATTCTACAAATGTCTGTTAGAGAGGCGTTGCGTGCTAGTGCCAAAGAGGAGGCAACAATTCTTGTCGAGTGTGCTCTCACTGCCAGGGGACATGGCTTGCGCTGGCTATGTTTAGGTGAGGGTGATGACATCTACTATTCAGTAGGCCTACCTCTGTTTTGAAACGGCTCTTTCCCTCTGCTCTTTCCTTCTTTCCTTCTGCCGACCCCATAAGTGTGGTTCACATAATGGCGTAGTGTGCTAGATCTGCCTCCGCAGGGAATGCTGGCAGGCTCACTACCTAGTTCCGAAAGGGTGTGGAAGGAACCTTGCTTGCACAGTGGACACAGGGTCTCAGCATAATGTGAGCGTAGGCTGGACTATATTCCTGGCACAATTTGTTGGCCAAAACTGCATACAAATCCCTGACCCTCTCTATCGATGCCAACTCAACCAACAGTGTTGTCTCCATGGTCAGAAATTATAAAGATACTGAGTCGTGTGGCTCAAACGGACCTCGCTGCAGATCCGCTGGGGCTACAAAACGATCTCAGGAGGGCAAGAGACTGGAGCAGGATAAGTTTAACCACCCTGCACATATGAGTAACCAGATAATGAGGTTATGCTTTCCCAGCGTGCTGCCATTTGCTGCATCATAGTGAGCTGGAGACGGCAGCAACATAAAACCTTCAGAGCGGAGGGTAACAGCCACAAGCGGAGCAACACATTTCAAATACCGAAGATAACGTCAGTGGGCTGTTATCCAGAGTGAGCACGCTGGAAAATAAGAGTGCTGGAAGATTTGAAATAAGGTATCTTGGGTTCCAACTGGAAAATTGAGAGATACAAGTGAGGATGTTATTAGAATAAGAAGATGATCGCAGAAGAGGAATTCTATAACAATTTGTTTCTGACTGTCTCCAATCTCCCAGGGCAATATATAATTGCTGGTGATTTTAATTACACGTCCAGCAAGATCCAGCAAGAGATCTGTCATTATTTTTAGATAATTCTCACATTAGATCGAGAAAGACAATAAATAGTTTCGTTAAAAAATTTAAATTCGGTGGATATATGGAGACGTAGTAAACCAAATGCGATAAAATACTCCTGTTATTCCAGCACTTATAAAACTTATTTGCGTTTTTTTTTTTTTTATTTCAGCACAACTTGACGACTGTAATAATGGTAGTATAGTAATATCGGACCATGCAGCTGTGTGTCATTTACTTATACAGATGCTAAACTAGTGAGGTATTCAACTAGGATGGCTAACAGACCCCACATTTATAGATTTTTTTTATTTGTTTTGTTTTCAAAATCTCTGGAAATGCATATTTTCATGGCCCTGAAATGTCATTGGTGTGTAAATAAACAGTCAAGTTCAAAGCAAATATTTTGTGCTTAACAAAAAATACAAATATTTTTTGAGTCGCAGCTTTTTAGAAAGGAAGTGCTGTGTAAAAATACACTCCAACAAAACAGTATGACGAATTTGCAGAAACAAATCATTAGTTAATTCATCACCATTGAAAAAATCAGAAAGCTATTTCATGGTTGTATGCCAAGGTTGCTATGAAACCATGACATGCCTGCCTCACAATAAGCATTTAAATTCAGGAGGAAACTGCACTCCTCTCTTTATCTGAATGGGGGAAATATCAAACACCTTTAATGTTTTCATTTTTTATTTGCAACTCTAATCTACTCAACTGTAATGTTTTCAGAGCTATCAAAAGGGAGGAAAACTAGTCTGCATTCTTAAGAATGATTGAAACTTTTTTTGTACTTCTGTTAAAACTATACTTTCATCTTTGTAGTTTTCATCACCTGTATATTACAGAGACTGTCTGCATCTTTCTGCCGTTTGCCTTTATAGGAGCTTTTTTCCTGGTCATATACGAGTACATAGAGGCTGTAATTTACTTTATTTTTTCATCTGTATTGTTTTTTAAAATGTTTGTGTCTGTATATTAAGAGGTTGTCAACTGAAAATGGCAAATGAAACTTATTTTGTGAAAAATGTTGACAGCTTTACAATCACTGGATTTGATCACCTGCAGAACCAAAAGCTTCTTGGATTCCTCATCCTGATATCCTACATGCTCATTCTGCTTGGAAATGGCATCAATCTGTGTATCATCTCAACTAACAGACATTTACACAAACCAATGTACATATTAATCTGTAATCTAGCTCTTGCTGACATCATTTATACCACGATAAGCAGTGCAACCATGATCTCAGTGCTGCTGGCAGAGGTTAAAACTGTTTCATACTACTCTTGTATCCTCAGGATGTACTTCTATCATCTTGGTGATTTAACAGAGTGCATGGCTCTGACATTAATGGCAATAGACAGAGTTATTGCCATTAGGCTTCCTTTAAGGTATCACAGCATTGTCACAAATTCACGAATATTATGGCTTATTTTTCTAACCTGGATGTTCTGTTTTGCTGCAATAGGTTATTTGATATTACTTGCTGACAGTCTCCCCTACTGTCAACCTGTCATCAAATATATTTACTGTAGTTATGCTGCTGTGGTCAGAGCTGCCTGTGTTGATCCTGAACCTTATTTTGCCATCTCTACAATATATAGCATGGTGCCATTGTGTGGCCAGTTTCCCTTTATTCTGTGCACGTATGCTGTTCTGGCATATAGTGTGACTAAACTTTCC